CCTTTGGTCTTGTTGAGGCTTCTCTGATGGTCACCTCGCCATACCTGTTACTACATTCTTCATACAGGATTTCCCCGAACAGATTTAGCTTGGCTACCACTGACCCGCACAGTGCTTTTTTCAGCAGCCCGCTCAGATGTTCGTCCAATTTTCTCCACTCCGCAAGCTCGTTGGCCTTTGGCCACTTTATCTTGTTCCTTCGGAGTGGGTTCTTCAGGTTCCTGGCCCTTTGACTCGACTCTGTTCTTGGGTTGCTTGGGGGTGCTCCTGGGTTCGCTTCTTGGGGTTCATCACCATCCCTTTCCTCCTGCCCTACCTCTGCAACATTGGGCCCGTTGGCACTGTGGTTGTCAACCCGGCCTTGGATCCCATTTGTCTGACCTGCCCTTACCGGGGCAGTGCAAGGTTGCATAAGGCTACCACCAGCACACTTCTTCTTTCCCATGTGAATGTGAAGTCCCCTCAAAGTTGTTGTTTTTTCCCAGCCACACCCACACTTTCTTAGAATCTTCTCTTTTGCCGATGTCCTTGCGTTCGTTACCGTGTGGTCCGTCCTTGTTGGCCCTTCTTTCATCCCGCCTCTCGGAGGGCCATCGGGTTGTTTTCTCTGTTTCTTTTTCGTAGTAAACTTTGGGTGTCTTCCTCTTGGAAAACTAGAGGGTAGGGTTACTAGCCCGCCTCTCCCGATGCAGACTATCCTGCTGCCACCAGTCTCTCCTGGTTGTCCTCCAGTCTTCCCTGGACTCCAACTGCTCTATTCACAGTAGTCACTGTCTCCAGAAATGCAATATTCATTACAGTGAGGTGGTCTTTCTGCTTGACCTTAGGCCTGTCGCACCTCCAACGGCGCCTGTGGTGGACTGTGCATGGCAGGGGCGTCCTCTTCCCTGAGCCGGGCCTAGACCTGACTGCATACCGCAAGGTTTTGCTGCAGGGTCTTCAGCTGGGGACCACCGCTCATTGACGTTTCGCCCCTTAGCCCAGAACATCTCCTGGTGGCGGGGCAGTGAACAAGGACGTCTCCCTGTCACCCCCTGCAGCAAAACCTAATTAGATGTTACTCCCCAAGCCTTATCTCGTCGTTTCAGCCAGAGCCAGTGGCTTGCTTTCTCAGCTTCTTCAGAGAGCTCTTTGGTGGATCTACTCAGTGTGGCTCCCCGTAGCCCCAGGTCCTTGAGCAGATGTGACGTTGATCTGCCCACAAAGCCTCTGGCTCCCACCTCGACCGGGTACAGCCTCGCACCCCATCCACTTTCTCTGCACTCCGCGACCAGATCTGCGTACTTCGCCTTCTTTCTCTCGTAGGCTGCTTCCAGCCCCTCCTCCCATGGCACTGTCAGCTCGATCAGTATCACAGACTTCACAGCTGCAGCCCACAGCACCACATCTGGTCTTAAGGTGGTGCTGCATATCTCCTGTGGGAACTGGAGCTGCCTTTCCAGGTCTACTTCCATCTTCCACTCTGCCCCTGGTGTTAACAGCCTGGAAGGTGGTCTCTTACTGGTATGCGTTGCGGGTTCCCCCTGCCTGAGGAAGCGGATCCTGCATCGACTCTCTGATGGACTCTTGTTGTTTGCCTCCTGCCGACTTTTCTCCAGCACTTCGGCCAGCTTTCTGAGCACTTGGTCATGCCGCCATCTAAATCGACCCTGTGTCAGTGCTGTTTTGCAGCCTGACAGAACATGCTGGAGTGAGGCATTGATGGTCCCGCAGAGGTCACAAGATTGCTCTATTTCAAGCCATTGGTGGAGGTTTTTAGGGCTTGGGAGTGTGTCGTATGTTGCCCTAATGAGGAAACTGAGCCGAGCCTGTGGCAGTTTCCAGAACTCTGCCCAGCTGATTGCTCGGCTTGCGACACCCTCCCAAGTTGTCCACCGCCCCTGCTGCCCCTGTGCCACAGACCTCACTCTGAGCTCCTCCTGCTCAATTCTAGTGACCTCTGCAACAACAAGCTCCTTCCTCTCCTTCCTGCTTGCCTTGGACCATAGGATAGGTGGCTCGCTCCATCCGAGGCCTGCCCGCCCTGTCTGAACCATGCCCACGACTTCTCGATGTTGCAGTCTTCCCATGACCTTCTGTACCTCCTCCTTAGCCCTCCATTTCCTTCCAGTTTCAACTCTGACATTTGCATCAGCCACTGCCCTGTCGGAGGAGTCCATTAATTCCATCACCAGCCTTGCCTTCTCCTGCCTGTAGCCCAGGGTGATGGATTTCAGGGGTAACTGGAGTGAGTTCCATCCATACAGACCAGCAGCTGAGAAGCACCGTGGTAGACCGAGCCATTTGCGGATGAAGGTGTTGGCTTTTGCTTCCATCTGGCTTACGGCGGATGAGGTGACTTCGCACAGCTTCAGGGGCCACATCACCCTTGGGTACAGGGTGAAGTGATAACACCACACCTTGTACTTTCCAGGTAGCTGGCTTGCATCGATCTTAGACAGGCCTTCTGACAGCTGCCGAAGGATGATTTTCCCCATATTCTTGTCTGAGAGACCAGATGTATAAAGTCTTCCCAGGCTTCGGATGGGCTGATCCACGATGCGGGGGATGTCTTCCCCGCTGATGGTGAAGGTGACCCTGTCATTTCTCTCCCCCTTACGCAATGAGAGGCTCCTTGACTTCTGCGGCTTGAACTTCATCCTGGCCCAAGTGATTAACTCATCCAGCCTCTTAAGCAGCCTGGATGTGCATGGGGCGGTTCGTAGCAGGCAGGTGATGTCGTCCATATAGCTCCTTAGAGGCGGGAGCCTCTGGCCTGCAGGCAGCCGGACCCCACCCACCACCTGCCTTGCCCCGATCAGGATGACCTCAAACGCTGCCACGAAGAGGATTGGGGAAATGGAGCATCCCATTGCGATCCCTACTTCCAGTTGTTGCCAGCCAGATGTGACTTTTTTCAGTGCAAAGCACATGTGCATGTCCTGGAAGTAGTTTGTTATCATGCTTCTTATGTTGTCTGGGATGTAAAAGAATTCCAATGCATAGGCTATTAGCAGGTGTGGCACTGACCCATAAGCATTGGCTAGGTCTAGCCATATGACGTGTAGATCTCTCTTCTCCCTCTTAGCGGTCTGGATCTGTTCCCAAATCATGGAAGCATGCTCTACACAGCCAGGGAACCCTGGAATCCCAGCTTTCTGGCAGCTGGTATTGATATAGTTGTTCTCCGTGAGGTAGGTGGTCATTCTTCTCGCCAGCACGGAAAAGAATATTTTCCCCTCCACATTCAGTAGAGCTATGCTCCTGAACTGCTCAATGGTCTTAGCGTTTTGTTGTTTGGGAATAGAGACTGCCACTGCCCTCTGCCACTCAGATGGTATGGTCTGCTTTATCCAGGTGATTCTCATTAGGGTCCATAGCAGCTTCAGCACTCCTGGGCAGTTCTTATACAGCTTGTACGAAATTCCGTTCGGGCCTGGTGCTGAAGCAGATCTTGCCCGCTGAATCACCTGCCTGACCTCGCTGAGCTTTAGTGGTGATGCGTCAAACAGGGCGGATGGTTCTGAGGGTCTAGGCACATATCCTGGCGAACCTAGGGGGTCGTTTCTTGCTGGGTCGCTGTACTGAGTGCGGATATACTCCTGCAGTTCTTCTTTGGAGATATCCAGGGTTCCACTTGTCTTCTCCTCAAGGAGCCCGCGTGCATGCCGGAATGGATTCCTGAAAAAACTTGATCTTTCCTTCTCCTTCCTTTTTCTCCGTCTTCTGATCCGTTCTGCCCTCCGGAGGTTAGCAAGGCGTCTTCTGATCTCATCCCAGAGAGCTTTCAGGCCCACCTTCTCAGACTCTTCTGCCTTCCTCCAACGCTTGCGGAGCTGCCTTCTGCTTGTCACCAAGTCATCAATCTCTTTCTCCCTCCTGCCCTTTGGTCTTGTTGAGGCTTCTCTGATGGTCACCTCGCCATACCTGTTACTACATTCTTCATACAGGATTTCCCCGAACAGATTTAGCTTGGCTACCACTGACCCGCACAGTGCTTTTTTCAGCAGCCCGCTCAGATGTTCGTCCAATTTTCTCCACTCCGCAAGCTCGTTGGCCTTTGGCCACTTTATCTTGTTCCTTCGGAGTGGGTTCTTCAGGTTCCTGGCCCTTTGACTCGACTCTGTTCTTGGGTTGCTTGGGGGTGCTCCTGGGTTCGCTTCTTGGGGTTCATCACCATCCCTTTCCTCCTGCCCTACCTCATGCAACATTGTACACAATTATTTATTATTCTCTTATTACTGTTCCTTTAGGAACACTGTCTAGCTGTTGTAGTTTGAATTACTTTGTACGATGTACCTTTTGACTGAACTACTCTCTTGTATACCTGTATTAAACTGTATTGTCTGTTATGTCTAACTTTATGTGTCTGCTCCTTGAAGTTTTATCTTGGCCAGGTCGACGTTTTTAATGAGAATGAGTCCTCTATGTGCCTACCTGGTAAAATAAAGGATAAATAAAATAAAAAAGAACAAACATTGACTTAAACCCACTGTAAATCATTGTTGTAATAAAATGGTTATTCCACATACCTGGCAAGGTTTTAAACACATGCGCACAAAAATGTAATATTATTGATAAAAAATATAATTCTTCCACCAAGAAATGTAGTTCTTCTGATGCGGAATGGTTGCCAAGCAACACAGACGCTGCAACAGACAGATGCAGTGGCGCAGTAATACTGATGTAATGCGGTCGGTCACATGTGTATGCTCGTAGAGACATTTACAACGCCTTTGAGTGCGGCTCAAACAATCATAATCAAGGACATACTTAAGTGTGTTAAGAAACAGTCATGAAAGGGTTCTCTCTTTAAGTTAATTAAATGCCCGTTTATTTCATTACATTTTCATTACAAAAAAAAAATACTTTTGGGATTTGAAGTTCAATACACTGCACATTCAGTACAGTTAAACATACTTCTTTTTCACAAGGGTAGCAACATGTTAAACAACAAACCTACTCAAGGAGTATTTATTAATATGCTTGAAATAATCTAAAGAGAATTGTATCCCTACCAGTTGCTCAGGAGGCAGAGAGAGGAGCCTACCAAACCATTAGCAATGCATCTAATGTCCAGGAAAGAGCTCATCCTGCAGAGAGGGAAGAGCAAAAGCCTGCTGTCACCCCTCGACCCGCCCAGCATCAGGCGGCTCCGTCAATGGACGATGAGGAAGAGGCCAACAGCTATGACTCAGATGAAGCAAGTAAGCAGATTTTCACCGAGTTCTTGTTCTTCCTTGTTTCTGTCTGGAAGAAAGATATTATTTTAAAAATGACGACACATCAAATCATTGTGAGACTGTTGCTGTCCGTTTTCTCATTTTTGGTGGAAAGAGGCCTTTGTGGGATTTTATTATAGGAAGTTAATAATAATCACCTGTTGGATTTATTATATCCTCACATTAATCACTAAGTGCGAGTAGCACCAAAAATGTCGATCTGTGTCTAAATTTCTTGACATGAAATTCAGTCAATTGTCAAATGTGCTTGAAATAATTTTTACACCATTAGATGTCGCTGTTGCATTAAACTTTAAATATTTAATCATGTGTGTGTGTGTGTGTGTGTGTGTGTGGGGACAACCTGAATACACTACACAGAGACTCACAGGGACTCGTGTCACTATGGGTACGAGGTCCTCATAAGGAAACACGCTTATAAATCATACAGAAAGAGACTTTTTGAAAATGTAAAAGTGCAGAATGTTTTGTGTGATGGGTAGGTTTAGTGTAAGGGGAGAGAATATACCGTTTGTACAGTATAAAACCCATTGGTCTATGGAGGGTCCCCACAAAGATAGCAAACCAGGCGAGTGTGTGTGTTTGTGTGTGTACAGGTTTGATATACTTGTGAAGCCCAAATGTCCTCACATGTATAATATTATGAGAACCGACTAGTGAGGACATGTTAGTGATCTGATTCCTCACTAGATAAAAATGCTCATAAATCAGCCAAAACTTGTTTTATTTAAATCTAATGTTTTGCACATGTTTCTGCGATGGATATATGTTCAGGGGTAGGGGTTGGGTTTGGAAATTACTTCATATCATTATTATCATATCATATCAACCTTATATCAGATCAATGGAGGTTTATGCAATGTCCTTACTAAAATGGTGAAACACGCATGTGTGTGTGCATTTCAAATGAAATGCAACAAGAAAAAGGCAACACATACACTAAAATGTAGACCTGTGAGCTTTTCCTCATGCATTCAAACCTAATGAAATGCTTGTGCCTAATGCAATTTATTTTGTTTGTTTTAGCAACTCTGGGAGCACTGGAGTTCACTTTACTATATGACCAAGGGAACAACAGCCTCCATTGCAACATTATTAAAGCAAAGGTATCTTCAGTATTTTCACATATATTAATATTAAAAGTCAAATTATTGCACACAAACAAAAATAACTATAAAATTCATGTTGGTTAATTATGTTGATAATGTAATATTATTGTGATTATGTAATATCATCATGCAGCAGTAATTGAATTGCCTTGAATTTAACTGCCTGAGCAGTATTGTGCTGATATAGTCTTGTACTGGGGCTTTTCACTGTTTGCTTCTTATTTGTGAGTCTTCACTTCATAGAACAGAATGACAATCATGGTCAGAATTTGAAATGTTATATCAGTAATATTGCTCTGTGTTTGATTTTTTATTTGTTTTTAAGCAGTTTTAATATTTTTTGTAGGGTTTAAAGCCAATGGATTCAAATGGACTGGCAGATCCATATATTAAGCTTCATCTACTACCAGGTGCAAGCAAGGTGAGATAGAGGACTTTTTAATATGCTGTTTGTAGCACTTTACCTTTGCAACTGGTATTATCAAATATTAATAATTTTGAACTTTAATAATTGTACACTCTAAAAAATGCTGGGTTGTTTTAACCCAATTTTGGGTAAAATATGGACAAACCCAGCCATTGGGTTAAAAATGTAATTTAAAAATGTAACCCAATGGCTGGGTTTGTCCATATTTTACCCAAAATTGGGTTAAAACAACCCAGCATTTTTTAGAGTGTATTAATAATTTTTTGAATTTTGAAACATGTCTGTATTGTTTATTAAAGTAATAGAAGAGTACTTATATTACTAAAGTTATAGAATTTGTCTGGTATTCATTGTTCAAATAATATTTAAAACATTCAATTTCTTATGCTATTGTACGTAGTTTGACCAGTCGTTTTTTGTTAATTTTTTTATTATTATTGTGTTCATTTTTTAAGTTAAATGTTGACAACAACATGCTATTCTACAATGGTTCTTAATAGTCTTATATATGAAGAATATATAGAATATATATATAAATTAATATAAATATAAAGAATAATAAAAATAAGGGTAACCCCTTATCCCAAGTCAACTTTCAACAATCTATTAACTATAAGTATCTTTGCAACCACATGTCAACTACCAGCCATTAGAATATTAGTAAACTGTCTGTGTAACATAAAGATTTAAAGATTTATTTTGATGCTCAACAAACATTCTACTGACTATAAGTATTTAAAAGTACTGTACCTGTTAACTTCTACTAACCCTAACCCTAATCTAACAGTCTACTAATACTCCAATGAGAGTTTGACATGTAGGTGCAAATTAATCAGTTAGTTGACATGTGGTTGCAAAGTTCCTATAGTTAGTATAATTGTCACAATGTAAGTCACCAGACTAGTCACATCACACTACATTTCCCATAAACCCTTCTGGCTCACACCTGCACACACTTCACATCACCTACCCCTGCCATCATTCACCCTCATCAGCTCGACTCCTAGCCTGCACACTCATTAGCGTTTGGTCTTGTAGTTCAACACTGAACTTTTATCTGACCACCTACCTGTGCATTGAACTGTCCCATCATTTGTCTTAGTAGTAGTGTAGTGGTTAGCAGATGGAGGCTTCAGGAACAATGAAAGTCTTTGAAACGATCCGACACCTGTCTCCATGGTGACCCCTAGTGGTCAGAAAAGTGTAAATGGAACAAAATGCAATTTCAAATTGCATTATCCAATCATCTTATAAGATTATCAAGTGTATATATGTTATTTTATCAATTGTCAGGGTTTGATTTGTTAGTTCTATGAATGGATCAGCTAAACAGACCAATACGACTATTAACTACCATTATTTATTTTAATTCTACTAATGTCAACGCATTCTCACCCTAGGGCGTCATGTAGTGGCGCTTTTGAAATTTCATCTAAATCCAGTATAAGAAGTGGACAGAGCTATCTCATTGGAACTCCATTGAGACAAGAGAAGCCCGTTTTTGGCGATTTTTTTTAGCACTTCCGTTCCTGACGCACAGACTCAAACAGAGCTTGACGACGTAGATGTGACGTGAGCAACCCGTCTGTCTTCTAGTGGCTGTGGAATGAGAAATCTGAATTATTCCCTTTTGAAACTTGCAGAGGCGGAGCGTGTGAGTAGGAGCTGTCCATGAGCGAGGAGCAGGAGAAACTTTTTCTAGGTGTTCTGATTAATTATTTTGTCATTTTGCCTCCAAGTTTCCCTGATTGCCCGCGAGCTTCTCCTCCCGTCCATACGGTAATCTCTCTACTGTGCGACAGAGAGTCGCGTGGTTATGACGCAATCGTTGGCCTACTTTTACAAAAAAACTGCTTCTACGGGGCCATAACATATGCTACAAGGATATGGAGCATTTTATACATTGTCGTGTTTCTTTAGAAATAAATAATGGACAAATGGGGTCTTCAAACGCCTCAGATTTAAAGTTATTCGCTGTCAAAGTGACGCCAAAATGAATGGGAGTCAATGGAAATGCTAACGCAAGTGAAGTTCTGCTACAAGATGGCAGCTCCCGCGAGGCTTCAACTTCCGGTCGATGGATTACCCCCTTGAAAAATCCAACGCACATGGCACCCTTTAGCATCAATATAACACGCACAGAGCATTGTTCGGTTATGGGTAGATTTAGTTCTGGGGTAGGGTTAGGTCTATATATAGGCCTTCTGGCCTACATCTCATATTGACGCTAAAGGGTGCTATGTGCATTGGATGTAGACGAAATGTCAAAAGCGTCAGTATATGACGCCTTGGGATGAGAACGTGCTGACTAATGTCTAATTAAATAGTCTAAAAATGTATAAAACTGATCAGAGATCAGGTAAAACCCACATACACTTGTTCAATGGTTCTCAGTGAATCCTCATGATTCATGGGTTGACAGAGATCATTGCCCCCAGCGGTGAACCATTGAAATTCCGAAGTGTTCCGAAACGTTTCGAAACAATGGAGCCTCATTTACTGAAATCACAACCCGGTCATATAACTGACGTTTTGGGACGTCTTTTGACCATACGTCAATATTCGCCTTTTTAGGGCCCCCTTAAACGTCGGTAGATGAGGTTATGGGATCCTAACTCTACCCCAGACCTAAACCTAACCCTAAACCTAACCCGTCACCTAACTGACGTTAAAGGTAACGCGTCAGTTGTATGACGGCCCGGGATCGCCATCTACCGTCGTTTAAGGGGGCCCTAAAAAGGCGGATATTGACGTATGGTCAAAAGACGTCCCAAGACGTCAGTTATATGACTTTTTGGGATGAGACTGTGTTAGAAATCACGTGACTCTGGCAGTTTGATACACACCCGAGCCATTGATTCAGAATAAACGATTTTTAAAGTCTTCGAAGCTTCTTGAAGCAGTGTTTTAAAATTGCCAACACTAGTCTTTTTTTCTTCAATTCTCTTCACTACCTGCAAAAGATAAGACTTACCATTCATATACCAGTATCACCATCATGATCTGAAATCCAGACACTCACTTGCTAAATTCCTTTGTGTCATTCAACAAAAACTGTTCATATTTTACCTGGGTTTGCAATCTTCTGTTTTGTTCAATGTCATAAGTGGACTATTGAAATAAACCTAAATTTACTAACTGTTATTGGCTATAAAATTGTTGGTAGGGATATAAATTTTGTTTTGCAAAGTTTGCAGCTTCAGTTGTTGAAGTGTTGATTCCCATTGTTTCTAGATTATTGTGCAGAGTGATGAGAGAATTGGCAAACACAACCTACAATTCCATTGTTTTTTTGTCCCTGGCACAAAATTACCAGCTAACATATTTTTACTAATCATATCTACTAGCTTCATGAGAAAGGCCTATAATATACAAGTTATACTTAATACTGGTCAAGCAATGATGGTTAAACAGAGCATCTTTGTTGTCAATGCAGTCAACTAAATTACGAACCAAGACCCTACGCAACACTCGCAACCCAAACTGGAATGAGACGCTGGTGTACCACGGGCTGACAGATGACGATATGCAGCGCAAGACCCTCAGGTTTATGTCTACTTTGGTACAGTTACACACAGTGCTCTTGTACAGTTGCCATAGTTCTGCCATGTTGGCCACATACAAAATAAATCAACATTTTCTATGGAAGTTGTGGATTTAGCTCAAATAGTAGAGCATAGTTAGCAACACCAACGTCATGGGTTTGATTCTCAGGGAAAGCAAGAACTAATAAAATTTGAAACTTAAATGCAATGCACATCACTTGGCCATTTAGTAAATTAATTTGATAATGTATCAGAGTTTTTTTTTACTCTAGCGTTAATTAATTTTGAATTAATTTTTCATTTTAGAAATTATAGTTCCTCACCAGTTGCCACTGTAACATTACATTTCTATTTTGCTTGTTTTTCATCTTATATTTATATTTTATTTTATTTCAACTTTACTTAAATGGCTAAAAAAACAATTTTTAATAGAAGATTTAGTTTTACTGAACAATAACACCAGTTAAATAGCTAATCATAGACTACAAAAGTATTTTGTTCTTGTGTTTTGAAAGTGATATATATATTTTAATGTATTGGACATTCAGTAATCATGGATACGTTTAACTATTGAAGGATTTTTACTTATGTCTATGCAGAATATCTGTCTGTGATGAAGACAAGTTTGGCCACAATGAGTTTATCGGAGAAACCAGAGTTGCGCTGAAAAAACTCAAGTTCAATCAGAAGAAAAACTTTAATGTGTGTCTAGAGAGGGTTGTCCAAGTGAGTGCTTTATACTCATACCCGTAATAAATGACAACCATTGATGAATTAACTGAATATTTATTGCTTTTAAATATGTAATGATTTTTTTTGTTTTGCCTCTTTTTACATAGACAAAAAGAACATCAACTGCAGGTGGTGCACGAGGAATCACCCTCTATGAGGATGAGGTAAATATTCATACTCATATTTATAGAGGTATATTACATAATTGAAACACCTAAAAATGTATTTACATTAAGATTAAGGTCAGATTCAGCTAGCAGTTATACTATTATTATCCAGGCTACACTTTAGCATACTTTTAAAAGAGGAACTTATCACCCAAATGATATACTTTAAAACAATACTTGAGTGCAAACTGAATGTAATGTTTGTGGACAGTCAATTGTACGTTAGCTGCAATTAAATAAAAATATATTATAGTTTAAATGATATTAAATGCATTTCGCTGAAATTTAGAAATTTAGATCCAATTAAGTAAGACTTAAATACATCTTTATATGTAACATAATTAGTAGTATTATCTTTGAAATATGGTTAAAGTTACTGCTGATTATAATGACAAGCATTTATGGTGAACTAAAATACAACTTAATGTCATTTCTATTGAAACTTGTATTTATTTAATTATTTTGATTTTGTTATTTAGTATATTTAAAATATATTAACTTTAAATGTAATATTGAATAGCATTCTAGAGTTAAAATTATAATCAAGTACTGGATGTGCTTTAGTATGTTAGTCACTTTAGAGCATGACAAAATATTAATAAAAAACTATTTAAAATTACCTTTTCAGGAAAACTTTTATTTTGACGTTGGTAAATTAGAAGTGGCAATTTAATTCATTAAAATTATATAATCTGCAAGTAAAGCTTTTTAAAATTGCATTCACTACAATTAAGTGCAGTTCTTTTTCTAACAGATGTTTGAAAATTTGACCAGATGACACAGGATCCCTATAGTCTTTTTACACTGATTTCCATTTACTGATTATTATTTTGCGCATCCTGTGTATTTGTATGTCAGCTGCAAATACCAGCAGTAGCAGAATTAATTAACATCCATGTGCTTTTTGTAGGATGAGGTGTTTCCACAATAACTACATTTGCAATGAACACTCCTGTGCTATCATTATCATCCACACTGCTATTTTTGTACCTGTGTAGACTGGGAAGGATGGCACTGAGATGGAAGAGAGAGGACGTATCCTGATTTCCCTAATGTACAACACCCAGCTGAGTCGTCTCATTGTAGGTGTTGTACGCTGTGTTCACTTAGCAGCAATGGATGCAAATGGCTACTCTGATCCCTTTGTCAAAATGTAAGTCTCTCTGCTCAATGTCTATATATGATAACGTATTTATTATATGCTTAGGAAACACTTATATAAGTTAAGGCATTAAACAACATTAAAAAACACCATTAATAATAAATCTGTTCTAAAAATGAAACCAAATTCTTTGAATCCATGAATATTTCTATGAATAGATGTCTGAAACCTGATATGGGGAAGAAAGCAAAAAACAAGACACAGACCAAGAAGAAGACACTCAACCCAGAGTTTAATGAGGTATGTTGTCCACTTGTCATGCATTTATGCACATATTACTTTATTAATTAATACAATCGTTTATATTTATATCAGAGTACAGTGATCCAGAGAAATGCAGACACAAATACGAAAGTTTAACAAGGTTATTTATACCCAACTACTAATTATTTTTAATTCAGGGGCAGGAGCCTGTTCACTGTACCTCTATTAATACATCTGAGATTATGACATATGCCAAGATTTTCTTATTGTGATAATTCATCTGTGGCTTATTTGGGTATTCAAATGCATTTGTGGTTTTGATTAAATCTGGTGGTTTTGATTCAAAAGCTACCCCTAATGCTGTGCTGATTTAATGGGAAAACATCTTTGTTTGACCGGTTGTAAACGCGTATGGGAAACATGCCAACAATTTGGCTTAAATAACCTCTAATGATGATGTCATCAGAATGCACACGTCAGGGGCTACACGGACGTGAGACAGGTGCGCTTTCAGGTTCCTTTGTCTTTAGAACTGCATTGTGTGCCGTGTGTGCTATTTCTTTTCAAACTATCCCTTTTGCTAGGAGTTAGTTTTGTCTGGCAGGAATAAAGACTTTGTCACTCTCGTTCTCTTTCTCTAGAAACGGAAAGAAAAAGAGTAGAAAAAAATCATGTTGCGAGAATCATGTTGCCACAAAGAGATGTGTGCCACCCTGCTCACTGGCTATCTCGGATAGTACTTACAGTAAATCAGCCCAGCATCTTGTTTCCGGTTTGTCGGGGAACAGGGTTACAGACAGTCAAGTTACAGTCAAGATGGGTTTTTTTTAAGTATATACAGACACATTTCCACACTTCATAACAAAATCTGTGATTAATTGTGATTAACTTGGAAAAATTTCGTAAATAATTATGATTAAATATTTTAATCATAAAACTAGTAATTATATATATTCAGATTAAACTTGGTGACTCTTTTTTAAATGAAAGAGCAATTTCAAATAGTGAGGATTAATATTAAATTAATTATTGAAATATTAAGTTAGTTAAATTAGCCTTAATATTAAGTTAGCCTTGTTAGTGTTCTGTTGCAATTCTGGGAGTTCTTCTTTGTGCTTGCTATTTTCCTTCTGCTTTGATAAAAATATGTGTGAATATGCTAGATTCTTCTTGTTTGACATGTGAACTGTTCTTTTGCAGGAATTCAGCTATGAAATTAAGCATGCAGAGCTGGCTAAAAAGACACTTGATATCTCAGTATGGGACTACGACATTGGAAAATCCAATGATTATATAGGTATGTACTTTTATTTTGTAATATTATTGTTTGTCATTGTATTTCTTAATCTATGTTTACACCTGGTATTAACATCTGTCTGGTCAGATTTGGAGATATGGAGATAACGAAGTGATATTTTGTTTTAAATTACCCTAAAAGTTTGATTAAACCATCAAATATATACATATTTTAAATATGAGGGAAGATCAAACTATTAAACCTGGTTAAGATATTTATCTGACAAAATAATTGGTCAAAACGACAGGGTTTATTTTACTATGCAAAAAAAAATGCTGGACTAGAATATATTAATTTATTTGCATACATTTATTTGCTTGCGTTCGTAATTTATTTGTATGACAGCCTGGCCAATTTTTTTTTTTTTTTTTCTTTTTTGCACAATTTGGCATTTGGCAATTGCATTAAAGCACAACTATGCCTGAAAACCTCCTGGTTACTGACGTAACCCTCATTCCCTGATGGAGGGAACGGAGATATTATGTTGACTGACAAATGAGGTCTCACTTGGAAGCCCCAATCACCTTGGAATTGGCGAGTGGGATTTGCATGCCGAGCGGTTCAGGGTGGTTCAGGGTTGTGGCAGGGCGATCATAACATTTCTGATTCCTCCACCACTGAACTAGAGTCACATCAGTAACCAAGACGTTCCCCATGTGTCAGTCACTACAATGTGGTTTCCTGACAAATGAGGATCCCTATGGAAAACATAACCTCTGAACTATGTTATGAGTGTTGAAAGCACAGATGTTGGCAAGTCGTAGTGTGCACTTTTGGCAACTGCTCCCATAAAGTCATAACCTACCCAGCTCCCCATGTGATAGCCATTCATGCCAACGGGATTTACCATGGAGACGGCTGTAGCTGCTGTCCTTGTGTTTTTGTTTCACAGGAACTTTATTCCCACTTTTTTTCATCTATTGTGTTAACTTGTTAGCAGCTGCCTTTTTCAATACCAGTAAATCTTTAAAGAGAAATCACAAGAGAGTATTGATATATTTTTTTGTCATGGAACATGAAAATAGCATGAGCTTGTGTTAAGTCCACAGACCTTATTTCAAGCATTTAACCAAAAAAAAAAAAAAATAAAAATATTGAATTCAGGATGATGGAACCGAACCGTTTTGGGGTTTTGGTCTGCGTCCTCTTGATCCCATTTGCGCATATATTTAGCAATGTCTACTTGTGAACAGATCAACCAGAAAATATGTTGATACTAGGTGTTAACAGTTGTCATTATGTTTCAAATTCACCATTCACCACTGACTTTCATTTCATTCCTCTATTGAAAACAAACATTGCATTGGTATGTTTTAATACTACTAATATTTCATGATCAGGGGGCTGCCAGCTTGGAATCACTGCCAAAGGTGAGCGTTTGAAGCACTGGTATGAATGCCTAAAGAACAAAGACAAGAAGATTGAGCGTTGGCACACTCTTCATAACGAGAATCACATCTCAAGTGATTAGGCTCTTTAAGCTTTGTGCATGCCTTTGACAGTTTCACTTCCTTAAGTTGTACTTGGCCCATTTGCCAACTCCATTACCCTCCACTAATGCATATTTTGGGTTGTACCGATCTTGCTCTTGTCCGGTTGACACACGGTATGCTTTCAAAGAACAAAATGTGATGTCTGGAGCTCTACTGTTCACTGTGACTTACATACAAATAACCATCGTTTGGCATTGAAAAGTAAAAGAACTGCACTGTTATGTCATGTTCTCTTATCTGGCCAAAGTAGCATTGTGTTATTTTAAGTTAAAGTTTAAGAACAACTGTAAAAACTCCAAATATTTATCTTGTTGTGGGAATGCGTTAATATCATGTCTCTTAGCAAACTCTTAGCAAAAATAATTATTAAAGTCTTTCTCCTTAGAAAAAGAGGCAGATACAGAATATATAAGCCCTATTTTAACCAGTTTTACCCATGTTTACAGGCCATTTAAAATGTCAGGTAAAATTTAAAATTCACACTTTTAACAAAAATAACACTTTATTGACTTATTTAACACCTTCCACATCAAAGTTAAAAAATTATTTCAAACAAATAGGGAAACAGCATGTAGGGATGTTTACACAGCACAGATAAGACTAAATCCAAAGAATGTTTAAGAATTTTAAACCATTACAAATCATTTTACGTGATCTGTTTGATAAGGATACATTTAATATGACTTAGGTTAGATAATCTAGTGAATGAAATTTTGTAACACATTGCTTGGTGTGCCTGGTTTATAACAACACTTCTATGTAAGCACACTATTCCACAAAACCATTTCAAACATGCGCCTTATTTGTAGTCTATAATGCGCTGAAAATACAAATGCCCTTGTGTAAAGACAACAACTTCCATGGTCAATGAAAAGATTTTAATAAAAGAATAGACTAGTCTAATGGCTGTGAAGCAAGCCAATATTACTTTAATTAGTCACCTGCAGCCTGTTTGTCTTGTGACTGTAGACCAATCACAGGATTGCATCAGGAAAGCACATTTACAATAGAATGACCTCAACATTATAACCAGCTCTAATACATGAGAGTATCTGTGATCATTGTGAATGCAATTCGTTTTCTTTGTATAATTTACACCCTGTTTGCCAACAAACGCTTCACAGCGACACTTCCGGGCTGTTCTCCTTCTATTCGTAGATTTGCATTTCACCAAGGCATCACACAAACAGCTGATTTTACATTTTAAACCTTATTTGTGGTGATAGTAGGCCTATATTTTGTAAAATACATTTGGTCCTAAATGACCAAAGGACCATCAGTGATCTAACAGGACCTGGTCTCGGCACTACTATGGCACGAATTGGCTTTTTATGAAAAGATATGAGAATGAAAACTTTTCAAAGCTAAAATTGCAAAAATGTTGTCGTTGGTTTTTGTTATGCTCAAAGTAACTGTACAATCAAAAACAGTGTTTATTAATCCTAATCAATATAATTTATGTGATCAAATATATGTATTTAAACAAAAAAGGGGTGGGTGATATGACCAAAATCTTATATCACAAGTAATTTTATTTTTACGATAATGATATATATCACAACGTAATTATTTTTGCTTTAAATGGGGTAAAAACATCATCAAAAATTAAAATAATGTCATAGAAATTTTATTATTCTTGTCGCTAATTTCAATCACAAAAAAATGAACACTAGCCTATGTACAAACTTTATATTTATTCTTGTTAGACAAGTGAGACAAAAGTGATTGAGTAAAGAGCATTTAGAGATTTTCTCTGTTTTTTTTCCCATTAATGACACAGATGACAGCAGGTTTATTAGGCTGCTGTCACTTTAAGACCGAATGCTTTGATCCAATATACTGTTACACATGAGTTTTTTTTCTCAAATGTTTACATTCACTTAAGACATAAATTACTGTGTTTATGAGGATACTGGCAAAGACTGGGATTTTTACATAAGTGTGTGTATTTAATCTGCGAAAAGAACTCAGTGCCTGCGTGCTCTATGAACAGCGGCTTCATGTTTACACAACAACGATGTATTAAAAACAGAAAAAAAAATTCTTTGTACAGATGACAATATTGTCAAAACCATCTCCACTCACATGGATCAGCGAAAATGACTAAAAACGCTGTATTATGCATGCCAGGCCAGTAGTTGGCGATGTAAATCTATAGACTGAACACGTAATACGCATGTGCATGCCATCACCATTTTCACAGATTTATGTTTTTGTAGTTTAGATGGAGACGATAACAGTATCATTTTCAAAAACTTGCACTTTGAAACCCGTTTACAAAAGTTCGCTTTTTTCAGCCTCCCAAAACACTGATGTTGTGTAAATGAAAGGCCATTTTTAGTTGAAAACGGTGTCATGTAAACGGCCCCTTACAGCACTCAGAGAGCGTGTGCATATACCAAAATGAGTTATCTTTCGCTGCTTATTGTGTTTTAACTGTTTAAAATCAGTTGTTTTTAAACCGGAATGCTTAAAACGCATGCAAACAATAAGCTTTTATGATGGCACAAATCATGTGCGTATACTGCGTAACCCCGATAGGCCAAAAATCGTGTCAATGAGTTTGTCACCCACCCATAATGTCCACAATTTAAAGGGGTGGTAAAGTTTGAAAGTTTCAACATTGAAAGTTCAAAGCAGAGGAAGATATTTGCTTTTAAAGAAAAGGACTACAAAAAACAGCTGGTAGGGGCTACACGACATCACCAACATAAACCCCGCCCCCAGGAACACTCAGTCCTTGTTGAGAAGAGGAAGAGTGGTTGTATAAGAGTACATTTGTCAGCTCAAACTTTAGCATCCACCTTTTCACATGCAATAGAAAGTCACTCTGTGTACATCTCACAGCAGTTTCTATACAAGCGATTTATCGATTACATGACAGAATATCCTAATTAAAGATAGTTAACTCCACATCAGCAAATTCATCAACTAACCATTCAGAGACATCCTGTTGTATTCTACATGTTGTCACTTCTTCTTGAGTCTCTCCATCTTTAACTGACTACGTTCTCTGCGAACAGTTTCTGTCATTTTAGTGTGTCTTACAAACACCGCCCTCTGCAGCAGCTTATTTGCATTTAAAGGGCCAGGCACAAAACGGTGCGTTTTTGCAAACCCTCAAAAAGCGACAATTTTAACATGCTATATAAAAATATCTCTGGGGTATTGTGTGCTTAAATTTCACACACACACTCGGGGGAAATCAGAGATTTATTTTACAGCTTGTGAAAATAGCATTCTACCACCCCTTTAAGCTCCAGAATGTTTTCAAATTTTCAAATGTGTATTTAAGCAATAAAAACACATTGCTTATCTCATTTTACTTTTATGTCATGCCTTAGGCTTTAAAACAGTTAGGCGTCCAACAAATGAAATAATGAATAAAGTTAAAGCTATTTTTTGGGGGGGAGAGAATACAGGAAAGGGACTTGGACATGATTTGAGCCAGACTCAAACCTATGTCACACCACCATCTGTGCCAGCTCCAACTATATAATGCCAAAACTGATCATTAGAACCGCAGCACTGCTCATGTCAATCACTATAATCTGCTTGTGTGAAGAACCCAGAAGTGTGGTTGCCTGTTGTTTGTCAAAATTTGACAATTTGAAAGGGTCATGTCATGTGGAATAAAGTTTTCTTTGATATTTTGATATATAAGAGGTCACTGTACTGTAAAAACACTCAAAGTTTCAGATTTTAAAACATCCTCCAAAAACAAACATTTATTGTTACTACTCAGCAAAATCAGTACTTGGTGAAATTATATTTAAGTATAACAGTGGTCATGGATATTGAAGTCTCAAAGGGTAAGAGTGATTTGGTTGTAGGGTCAGAGACTGGTAAAAAATGCCCAATTATTAATACTTTTAGAGCAAGTATTATAAGTGAACCTCAATGAATATCATATTAAAAATAAAAATAAAAATGTGACATGACCAACACAATCTCGTGGCAACTATTTTACATTTTGTCGAATTGGTCAAAAATTTGTACGATCTCATTCGTATGTTTACACATGATCTCATTCATGATACATATACAAATTCATATGAAATTGGCACTTTGTAAAATAGTTGTGTTTTCCTGTGAGATCGGGTTGAACAGAAACATTAACCTTTTGTAGTCCAGATGGGTCAATTAGATTTTCAAATTGAATGTGATCTCCCTGTATTTTTTATGACGTCTCATTCACATACAGAGCTGTATCAATGCAATTTTCAAAAAACAAACAAAATAGAGCACACCATTCTAATACTTAAAACCATATTTGCCAGTTTAGTTTGTGAATGATTATTGTATAAATTTCGTCTTTCATTCATGATGCAATTGTATATATAGTGCATGTACTTGCACAGCAGGGAAGTGTTTTGCATGTAAAGATTTTACTTGGAGTTCAAAACACAGAGGCCAATAAAAGTCAGAATAAACTGCAGTCATTTGTTTACTTCATTTATGTGCACTTCTATACCTATGTGAATGAATGAATGGATGAATGAATACAGAAAATTATTTGATTTTTATTTTATATCAGTCCCGTTGGGAGTGTCTAGTCAAGTCAAGTATATTTATATAGCGCTTTTCACAATATAGATTGCATCAAAGCAGCTTCACAGTATCAATTAAAACATAATAACAAGGTTCGTTTTTTAGTGGAAAAACATCCACGTTTGGTAGAGATCAATGGTATTACTGATTGGTGAATTAATTTGAATATCCCCAACTGGCAAGGAACCAAAAAACTCAAGTGACCTGTGGTAAGAATAAGTTTGTGAGCCCTTTTAAAATATCTGTTTTGAGTGCAGAAAATGTGGTTTAATCTGCAGTTTACCACACACTTATAGACACAATCTGACTAATAACAAATATTATTTTACTTTTCACATTTGTTTTATGGGAAAAAAAATAGAAAAGAACCACCGCTCATCTGTCAAAAAAGTCTTATAGAGCAACCCGGTCTCATCCCAAGACGTCATATAACTGACGTTTTGGGACGTCTTTTGACCATACGTCAATATTCGCCTTTTTAGGGCCCCCTTAAACGTCGGTAGATGAGGTTATGGGATGCTAACTCTACCCCATACCTAAACCTAACCCTAAACCTAACCCGTCACCTAACTGACGATAAAGGTAAAGCGTCAGTTGTATGACGGCCCGGGATCGCCATCTACCGACGTTTAAGGGGGCCCTAAAAAGGCGGATATTGACGTACGGTCAAAAAACGTCCCAAGACGTCAGTTATATGACTTTTTGGGATGAGACTGTGTTATGTAGAGAGGTGCTGCTACATTAAATCATCATGGAAAATTGTAAAAATACAGCAGCCGCACACTCAAACACTGTGCAAGATCAATTTATTAGCAAGCTTTCAGGCCCCGTTTACACGAGAACGCTCGCGGGTGAAAACGTAAAAATATTTTATCGGATGTGCCTTTCGTTTACACGGCCGACGGCGTTTTTGAGGCTTAAAAACGCAAAAAATTGAAACCACCCTCCAGAGAGGAAATCTTAAAAACGCTCCACCGCCGCGTTCCGTGTAAAGGGTAAAAACCATAGACTGTAAAAAATATGGACGTAGTATCCGTGACGTCACCCATAGGTTTCTGAAGAGCGTTTTTGAAGCCTAAAGTGGGCGGGGCCGGCCGTCGCCATCTTGGCAGTGCGTAACCTCTCGTCACTACCGGATAATTTAAAATGGGCGAAGAGGCGGGACGCGGGCGGAGCTGAGGTACTAATGCTATATGCTACTGCCCTCGCGCTGAATTGAAAAAGTAAAGCCAATGGTTAAAGTTCATGTTTTTGCCCTTCGAAATATTATAATAGTTAAGACGTAACTAAAAGTGAGACTATTTACTTTATCAACTTTAATAATCTCACAAGGGGCACTTAGTTAAGAGCATGTATACAAGTACATAACACAGCTTACACACATTTCTCACAACACACAAACAGTCAACTATGTGCATCGTGATGCATTCTTATTCTGCTAGTTAAAAATGTATTAGTTACTTGCAATATTGCTCAAAGCTTGTGCATGTGACAGTGATTCAAGTTCAACGCACAAATATCAGTCGGCATCTCACATCAAGTTCGTAAAGAGCTTTAATTCAGTCCATTTTACAATGTGATTTTGGCTGCCTCTCAATTTCTCAGATTGGTAAAACCAAAGATATTACCTCAGAAGTTCAAGTATGAACTAGAAATCCACGCTCATTCAAGGGTGTGCATCTATTGCATGGATGGAGAGAACGCGCTGAAATGGGCTTTATGCCCAGCTGCACTACTACCTGAACTTCAGCCAGCTCCTTGTTTCCTCTCTGCCATTATTGGCCAAA